CAGTAAGCTGAGATCATGCCATTGCACTCCAGCCTGGACAACAAAAGTGAGACTACGTCTTAAAAAAAAAATGGAGTCTCTGTGGACCAGGCTGGAGTGCAGTGGTGCAATCTCGGTTCACTGCAACCTCTGCCTCCTGGGTTCAAGCGATTCTCCTGCCTCAGCCTCCTGAGTAGCTTGGATTACAGGTGCCCACCACCAACCCTAATTTTTTTTTTTTTTTTGTATTTTTAGTAGAGATGGGGTTTTAACCAGTGTTGGGCAGACTGGTCTTGAACTCCTGACCTCAAGTGATCCACCCACCTTGGCCTCTATATTAGTCTGTTCTTATACTGCTAATAAAGACATACCCAAGAGTGAGTAATTTATAGAGGAAAGAGGCTTAATGGACTCACAGTTCCACATGGCTGGGGAGGCCTCACAATCACTGCAGGAGGCAAAGGAGAAGCAAAGGTACATCTTACATGGCGGCAGGCAAGAGAGCGCATACAGGGAAATTTCCTTTTATAAAACCATCAGATCTCATGAGACTTATTCACTACACAAGAACAGCATGGGAAAGACCCGCCCCCATGATTCAGTTACCTCCCAATTGGGTCCCTCTCACAACACATGGGAATTATGGGAGCTAGAATTCAAAATGAGATTTGGGTGAGGATACAGCCAGACAATATCAGCCTCCCAGAGTGCCAAGATTACAGGTGTGAGTCACTGCATCAACCCAGGATGGTGAGACTTTTTACATGACTAATTCCCCAGAGTAATGTTCCTAGAGGCCCAGGAGGAAGCTGCAAGACTTCCTCCTCACAAGTTCCAGTACGTTGTTTCTGCCACATCCTATGGGTCAAGCAAGTCAGTAAAACCGGTCTAATTTCAAGGAGATTTGACTTCTCAACAGGGAAACACTATGGCATGCATGGAAGGGGAGAGTTGAGCTGGGTAGACACATGGGTTGGGCCAAAGCAGGGGATTTTGAGCACAGATACTGGTTCATGTCACAGTTCTGTAACTTTCTGTCTCTGATGTCTGGAAAGTTCTTTCACCTCTCTGAGGTGATTGCCTCATCTATAAAATGAGAATAATATGCTCCTGAACATGATTGTGGTAAGACTTAAATGGGACAAAGGTGGCTGGGCGCAGTGGCTCACATCCCAGCACTTTGGGAAGCCAAGGAGGCAGATCACCTGAAGTCAGGAGCACAAGACCAGCCTGACCAACATCGAGAAACTCCATCTCTACTAAAAATACAAAATTATCCAGGTGAAGTGGCTCATGCCTTTAATCCCAGCTACTCAGGAGGCTGAGGCAGGAGAATCACTTGATCCCGGGAGGCTGAGGTTGTGGTGAGCCAAGATTGCACCATTGCACTCCAGCCTGGGCAACAAGAGCAAAACTCCATCTCAAAAAAAAAAAAAAAAAGAAGAGGACAGAGACTCTAAGGCCAGGCAGGATGGCTCATGTCTGTAATCCCATGCTCTGGGAGGCTGAAGCCGGGGGATTGCTTGAGCCCAAGAGTTCAAGATCAGCCTGGGAAACATAGCAAGATCCTGTCTCTGCAAAAAGAAGAGACAAAGATAACACTTGGCACCTGCCTCACACCTATTAAGTTCTTCCTTAATGGTAACTAAAGTGAGTAAATAACTAGAAATGTTACGATTACTCCAGCTCATTCTTTGGATATTCATTCATTCATTCAGCAAGCAAGCATTTCTTCAGCACCTGCACTGACCTCCCCACAGTTGCAGGGATATGTTGAAGGTGGACATAGTTGGGCTTTCAGATTTTCTGTCACCATGAGCTCTTCAGTGCCAGCTAGTATCATTGAGGTTGGCAAGATAGGCTTCTCACCTAAGCCTTCTGATGTTACAGTTTAATTTTCAGCCTCATCCTGGTAGAGTCTCCTCATACATCATAGCAACTCTCCTGCTGTCTGAGATAGTAAGAATGTTAATATGAGAGGCAAATGAACCTACAAAACAAATGGGGGTTCTTTCCCCATTCACATCCATGTCCTCAGGTCCCATGGGATGAGCATCTGTGTCCCCAAAATGGCCCTGGTGTGTTCACGATGGGCAACACAGAACTTGGAAAGTGTGTCTCGGTGCCCCTGGGCCCTCCTGGCATCCAGCATCAGTACCACAAACAGGCTACAGACAAGAGAGGAAAGGTGACAGTTCTGTCACCAATTCCGTACTATACATAATTATAAAAGAAACTCAACAAAGCATTCTCAAATGAAACCAAAGCAAGATGTCAAGGAAAATGCAAGCGGAACCAGGAGAAGCCATTAGATGGAAAAACTTAATCCAACAGTCTGTTCTCTGTGTCTCATTTGAGCAGTTTCCTAATACCAGGAACTAATTAAAAATGTGAAAGGGCAGGACTTCTAACACATTATCTCCCAAAACCGTTAGGCTTCTCATAATCATGTGAAAAACCTCACTTGCTCAAATGAACGTCTTTTTACTTTCATTTGAAGATACTGGAGCTTTAAGTAGATCTCACTTTCAGGAACTCGTTTTTAGGTCAGTGATAAAGGAATTCATACTCATTAAGTTCCACTGTTCCAGCAGATAAAGACTACATGTTACAGAATCACTGAATCTCACACCTTCATCTCAGTCCATTTTCCCACCCGGAACATGAATATCTGCCATGTGTTGCCGACAGATGGAAATGAGCCATCTTCCACAGGAGCATGAACAAGACCAAGAGCCTGCGACTTCATTCTGAGAGTACAGAAGTCAGAAGCCCCGCCTGCCTTTCAGAGGGGACCCACGCGAACACTAAGAGGCAAAGCTGACGGTGACATGAGTGCCAAGTGTAGGCAGTGGAAAGAGTTTAGCCCTCTTTGTGCAGTGATGGTCAGAGCTGTCTCCCAGGCCTCCTCCACTATCATTTGCTGGTGCGTTACTAATTTACTAGGCTGACTCATCTCTGGAGGCAAACACAGGCTGTGTTCATTGCAGGGAAGTGCTCAGCTTGCTGTGCAAGGTGCAGTATCTCCAGCAGGCAGATATCTGTCTTGTAGGGTCAGTATTTCCTAACAACTTGCTTAAAAGGAAACAGACACATCCTCTCTCAAACCAACTCTCAAGCTTCGAGGCATTTTCCCCACTTGGTTCTGAGACCATCACAATTGATCTGGCATGGATCTGAAATCTGGTTAGTCTAGAAACCTTGGGCCTCTTCCCCATGGCTTCAGAAGGCACCATCCTGCATCGTCATCAAATGGGAACAATCACAAAAACGTCTCCCCAGTAGCAGTGTGGGAATTGGGCCCCCTAGAGCGCTTGATGAGGGTGGAGATGGGCAGGAACAGAGGGCCAGCCTTGTTGCAATATCAGCATCAGCAGAATGACATTTCTCTGATTTTTGAGAAACCATGAGCAGACATTCTAGAGACATTCATCAGAATGAAAAGTTGGGGCAGACTGTGCCTGCTCTCAGCTGCCGCAGTGACCTTCAGAACACTCTCTCTAACCAGTACACATATGCTTCTCCGATGCTCTGTGACCTCGGGGTGTGGTGGACACCCTGCCTGTTTTGGGTCAGACAATGTGGTGGTTTCTCAGAGAAGACCAGGCGGAGAGTTCATGGAAGAAAAGGCAGAAATCAAAGATATAGATTTGGAGAAGAGAAGAAAGCTAGAAATCGTCTTGAGAAAAGGACTGATTGAAGGTTGGAAGAAAAGAACTTTTCTCCCAGGCGCTGCTTGGCGTGGCATCTGGCCTGACAGAATCTCCTGTCTCTTGCTGATTTGATGATAAAATATAGAGTGGACCCACAGGGAGAGCAAAAGCCTCAAGAAATAGCTGGGGAACTGGCTCTGCAGGAGCACTGTTTGCTGCTCACTGCTGCGACTGTGAGCCGCCACAGCAGCATGACTAATGCCTCTCCTCTAGGCCTAAATTAGATTTTGATTGTGTTTCATAGATGTTCACGGAATCACAGATGTTTGAGGTAAAAAGACCCAAACTTCTCAGAAACACCTCCTGTGGAGTGTGTGGGTCATCCTCATAGGCAAGGCTGAAGCGCTCCCAGGACTCAGTGGAAATACCAGAAGTAACCCCTTCCCTTCCAAGGCCTCAGGGGCAAACCAGCTGCCTACAGGATTGCTCTGAATGGTGTGGACTCCTGGGACCAGTAGGCTGTGGGGTCTGCTCCTCCTGAGGCTAACCAGGGGGCTCTAAGTAAGTGTGCCCTATCAGTGTGTAAACCAAAAAGTAGCCGAGACAAGGTCTCAGTCAATTTATTTTGCCGAAGTGAAAGATGCACCCATGACACAGCCTCGGGAGGTCATGACATTATGTGCCCAAGGTAGTTGGGGCACAGCTTGGCTTTGTACACTTTAAGTCAGTATGTGTAAGATGTATGTTGGTTTGGTCCGGAAAGGCAGGATAACTAGAAGGGGGAAGGGAGCTTCCAGGCCGTAGGTAGATAAGAGACAAACAGTTGGATTATTTTGAGTTTCTGATTAGCCTTTCACTGAATACACAATTTATAGGAATAGTCACTTATTCCTTAGTCTGGGTTAGTGAAACAACAGGGCAAAGGAAGCAATCAGATACGCATTTATCTCACATGAGCAGAGGGATGACTGAGTTCGGTCTTTCATCCACAGGAAATTTCCTTGTGGGCAAATTGTGAGGGAAGAATGTAGCTTTTTTTTTTTTTTTTTTTTAATCTTTGTAGCTATCTTATTTAGGAATTGAATGCAAGGAAGCTTTGCCCAATGCAGTTCCCAGCTGAGTTTTTCGTTTGTCTTAGCGATTTGGGGGTCCCAAGATTTTCCTTTTCACAAGTGGCTAATGCCTGGTATAGACCCCAAGTTGGACCTGCAGTGTCCCATTCTTTGTAGATTTCCACTGAATCACTGCTGCCTCCATTGAAGTAGTTTAAGCTCCTCACTAGCTCATCTCCCTCAGTGTTCCTCAGCCATTCAACCCATTCTGATTTGTAGTGTGCCAGTACCAAATGCTTTCTCATTTTTCTTGCAGAATTTAGCCTACGAAATCATCTTAACCCTGGGACAGGCCTTTGAAGTCGCTTACCAGCTAGCACTACAAGCAAGAAAAGGGGGACACTCCTCCACACTTCCAGAAAGCTTTGAAAACAAACCCTCCAAACCCATCCCCAAGCCCCGCGTTAGCATTCGCAAGTCCGTGGTAAGTAGAAAGATACAGATGTTCTAAAAGCCTTGAACAGGAGGGAAAGGGGCTGCTAACCAGGCCCTTGCATGGTATGGGTGCCATTAGAATCCAGGGCCTCTTCTTGATCCTTTCTCTTGGCCTCCTCCCAGCATGTCTCCATCATTATCTCAGCCTGGTTCCTACCAAGTCTTGGGGACCATCTTCCTCAGCTTGCAGCCTACAGAGAAATCCACTTTCTTAGTCACCTGCAGCAACCCTATGAAGGGTCTCAGCAGCAGGTACTTGTTCTTGGTGAATCCTACCTAAAGGGTCAGGAAAGCTTGGGAGCAGTGTTCCTTGAGGCTTCAGCCAGCATCCCATCAGAGGACAAAGCCTCCTGCAAGTCCCTGGCCTCCAGAGAGGTGTGCAGAGATACACAGTGATGATATCCTCAGTCCCCAGCTAGAGGAAGCTGGATGCACAGGCTGCTCTGCTATATGCAAGGCCTGTGCCATGGCCCGGGTGCTTTGCCTGACACAGCTGAGGCTTCCTGCAGTGTGGTGACTGTTCAGAGGGTGCAGCCCCGCCTTCTCGGCATCTGCCTTCCTCCAGGAATTTCCTCCCCTTCCCTCCCACAGGCTCTGCAGACATCCTGTCCCATCAGGCTTGCATGACTTCAAAGCGGCCTCCTCTGGTAGTAGCAATATCCAAAAGCTGGAAGTTTCCCAGCCAGCCTCCCATCTGGTTTCTGCCCCGGCTGCCGTATTGCATCCTAGAAACCCTGGGACTCCCCCAGAATGCATTGCTCTCACGCCCCCAAATCCTTCCATCTGGAACTCTCTCTCCTCCTCCTCACCAGCCCCCACCTCCACTGTCATGGGGGAACAGCAGCATTTTTAACGTTTGCAGGGAGGCACCTCCCTTTGTGACCATGCAGTTCTTGTTTACAGTCTTCTTTTGGGGCCCTACCCCTGTCATTCTTCTTGGCAACATCAACATCCACAGGGATGACCCCTCCAGCATATGGTCTCACAGTTCCTTGTCAGTTTACGTTCATGATCTTTCCCTCCGGCCCCAGCCGTTCACTCCCATGCCCATCACACATTACTGATCATGCCCAGGAGCTGCACCTCCTCTGAAGTCTTTCTTCCACCACCACCCTCTGAGACCCTGACCCAACCCAACACACTAGCTCCCAGTTCTCTATCTCCAGCCCTGGGCATCTCCCAACTCCAGATTCATGTGGCCAACTTCTTTCACATTTCCACCTTGATGCTTCACAGACAGCTGAAACTTAGCATGTATAGAACACAATTCCTGATTTTCCCCTCAAACCTCTTCTCACTATCTTCCCCACCCCACAGCCACTTACCACGTTACTGAAGCCCAAAGTCTACAAATTAGCCTGGATTCCTGCCTTACCCTCACCTCTCTATCCAACCCATGAGCAGATCCCATCCATTGCACCCCTAAAATATATCTCAGTCCACTCTTCCCCACTTCCTCCATTTCTCTTCCAGTTGGGGCCACTTGGCCCCAGGCCTATGCAGTATAGCTCCTCGAGACTCCCCTCCCGACACAGCAGAAATCAGTCATAGCACCCTGTGCCCCAAGTACCCAGAATGCAGTTTCCCACCACGGTCCTCTTTGATGCTCAGGTCTTCCCGTTCCTTGACTATATAATGCTCACACCTAACCGAGGCCTTTAGGCCACCTGCTCCCCACACCTGGAATATCCTCCCCAGATTTCTGCATGGCTGACTCCATCTTATCATTCAGGTCTCGGCTACTTGAAGAGGCGGATGTCCTGACCATCCAGTCTGACATAGACCCTCAGTCATCTTCAAGCATGTCATCTACTTTTAATTCTGTATAGCACTTATTAATTGAGGGGCTTTTTTTAACTGATGGCTTGTTTATTGTCTACCTCCCTCCACAAAAATGTAAGTTTCATGTGCACAGGGACCCTACCTGTCTTGCCACCACCAGAACCAGGCCCATAGCGGGTGCCCAGTGAATATCCGTGGATGAAGAAATCAGGGCCTGTGGATGGATTTCACACGTATATCATTGAGACTGATTAGGCTGTTAAGTGTCCAGGAATTTGCAGAATGTTTTTGAGATTATCTCTTAGACTATTGTATTCATTCTCATGTGGGCTGAATAAATCTCTTCACAGCAGGTGCCTCTATCTGACCTCACCCCGGTCCCCATAGGCTTCTTCCAGAAGAGTACAAAGGGTTGGGTGCCATAAGAGCTTATAGAATATTCATTCAGATGCCTTCACTGGGAAATAGGAAAATACACAGTGAATAATACTTATATCATTTACCTGCTTCAAGGTCAATCCCCCTCGACAGGCATTAGTATTCTAGTTCCCTCAGCTCTGGGCATTTCTTGGTAAGAAATATTCAGTGACCCTAAGAACACGTGAGGTCCTTCCCACAGCCTTATGAAGAAATAGTCAAAGCATGGTAGAAGGCAGCTGCAGAGCTCATGGTGCCAGAGAAATGGGAGAGGGCTTCCCACAACCCCAGACTCTGAGCAGAGCAGGCAGCTAGGACAGGGCAGGCAGACCTGGACACCCCAAAGGAAGAGGCAGCTGTGGTGTAGATCTCACCCTGGGGTCGTTCCTGAGAGCAGACAGCCTGGTCCAACCCCAGGAGTGGCCTGTTGTATTTGTATGCGCAGAGACACCCAGTCATCTTCAAGCATGTCATCTGTGTAGCATTTAATTCTGTGTAGCATTTATTAATATTAAAACCATTTTAGAACCCACCTGGCTTTGGCTCAAGGCTCAGCCTGACTGGGCCCCTGCTCACCTCCTCACCCTCAGTTGTCTGCCCTCCTGATTCCCAGCCTGTAAACTGACCCCAACCCCTCAACGACCATTTTCCCTTACCTCTGGGACTCTTTTTTATTGCTATGTGGTATTTTGACACATGTATGCAATGTGTAATGATCACGTTAGTAACTGAGATACCCATCTCAAACATTTTTGTGTTGAGAAATTACAATTCTATTTTTAAATATACAATAAATTATTGTTGACTATAGTCACCCTACTGTGCTATCAAATACTAGAACTTACTCCTTCTATTTAACTGTCTCTTTGTACCTATTAACCAATTTCTCTTCATCCCTACTCTCCCTTCTTCACTTTCCAACCTCCAGTAACCACCATTCTACTCTATCTCCATGAGAACCACTTTATATAGCTGCTTCCACATATGAGAACGTACAATGTTTGTCTCTCTGTGCCTAGCTTATTTCACTCAACATGATGATCTTCAGTTCACCCATGTTGCCACAAATGACAGGATCTCATTCTTTTTATGGCTGAAGAGTACTCCATTGTGTGATTATACCACACTTTCTTTACCCATTTGTCCATTGATGGACACTTAGTTTGATTCCATGTCTTGGCTGCTGTGAATAATTCTGCAATAAATATGGGAGTGCACATACCTCTTTCATATACTGATGTTTTTATATATATATATATATATACACCCAGTAGTGGGATTGCTGGAATAGATGGTAGCTCTGTTTTTAGTTTCCTTGAGGAACCTCTGTGCTATTCTCCATAGTGGCTTTACTAATTTATATTCCCACTAATGGTGTAGACGTGTTTCCCTTTCTCTGCAGCCTCACCAGCATCCGTTATTTTTTGTCTTTTTGATAGTAGCCATTCCGATGGGGGTGAGATGGTGTCACGCTATGGTTGTCATTCACATGTCCCTGATGGTTAGTGATGTTGAACAGTTTTTCCTATACCTGTTGGCCATTGTATGTCATATTTTGAGAAATGTCTGTTCAGTTCTATTGCCTACTATTTAATCAGATTGGAGTTTTTTTTCCTATTGAATTATTCGAGTCCCTTATTTATTCCGGTTACTAATCCCTTGTCAGATGGATACTTTGCAAATATTTTCTCCCATTCTGTAGGTAGTCTGTTCGCTTTGTTATTTCCTTTGCTGTGCAGAAGCTTTTTCGCTTGATATAATTCCATTTGTCTATTTCTGCTTTTACTGCCTGTGCTTTTGAGATTTTACCCAAAATATCTTTGCCCAGACCACTGTCCTATAGTGTTTCCCCAGTGTTTCCTTCCAGTTCTTTCATTGTCTCAGATCTTCTGAGCCTTTAATCCATTTTGAGTTGATTTCTGTATATGGTGGAAGATGAGGCTCTGTTTCATTCTGTGTAAAGATTATTCTGCGACTTCCGCATGTACCATTTCATCTACTTCAAATGCCCCCTTCTCCTGTCTTCAGGCAAATACTTGCTGGTCCTTTGGCTGTCCGTTTAAATATTACCTGATTCTTTCAATACCATTTATTCAACAAGTATTTATTGTATGCCTACTATTTAGGGGGTTGCCAAGAGCTTTCCTGCGTTTTGGAGAAAATGGCAGGGAACAAAACAGAATCCTGCCTCCATGAGCATACATGGCAGTGGAGGATGAACAAATAAATATGAGGTGACACATGTGGCAATAAGTATTGTGAAGAATAAGGCAGAAGAGGAGAGCCAAAAAAAAGTTGGGGTGCTTTTTGTAGGAGCAAACAGGTAAGGCTTCTAGGAAGAGAGGTGGCAATGGAAGTGGCATTCGAGCAGAGATCTGAATGGCATTGGAGCATAAGGCATGCAGGTGTCTGAAGAAGGGAACGTGGGCAGAGCAGAAGAAGAGCTTAGAGGCCCTGGGCATGGGCTTGGTGGGCAGAAAGAGCAAGGAAGCTGTGTGGCTGGAGCACAAATGTCAGGTGGCCAGGGGTACTGGAGATCACAGTGAGGAGTTCAGGTTTTGTTCTGACTGTGATGGAAACCACTCAAGAGGGAGAGCTGGGTATTGGCATGGCCTGATTCACCTCCTCCAGGAAGGCCCCTAGCTCCCGAGGTGTGTGCCCATAGGGTGCCCCCTCTTCCCCTCGTGTCTCACCTCTCAGCACTGAAATCCGCCTCTGTCTGCTCCCCGTCTGTGTGCTCACAAGGGCAAGGGCAAGGGCCGTGCTTCATTCACCATCACCCTTCGGTGC